GTATCCAGCTATACCCACCTGCCTCCTGCCTGCCTGCTACAACCTGGTACCTGCTCTCTCCAACTTACCTGTTCCCAGCCTGCACACCAGCTTCGACCTGCCCAAGCCCAGCCACACTCCCCTACCCCCTGCACATCTGATTATTAAAGTTGTTAAAACTTTCAGACTCTGTCTGCTCTTGGGTCCAAATATCTGCATTGTGACATCCACAAGGCCAGGTTATTAAAACTATTTTGTCTTGCATTTGTCCACCTGTGCAGTACATAGGTCACTGTTTACCACACCCTCCCATTTTATCACATAAACACATGTGATAATAAAAATACAAAAACAACAAAAATAAATCAATCAATCAACAAAAACTTACAATCATGAAATCAAGTAAAGTGAATAACTGATTCTTAACTTGCAAAAAAAAAAATACACACAAAAAATAATGATGATAAAAAATAATCACTTTCACTATATAATCATGAATTTAGCTGATTTTATAATTCAAACAATAACAAAAATCTCTATTGGACACCAGAACCAAGCTGATATGAGTCATAGAGCAGGCGGGACTGAGCATTAAGAATCAAATATAAAATTAATTAGGTTTTGAGCAATGATTTGAAGTGGAGTGAAATGAGATGGAGTGAGTTCCAGAGAGAGGGGGCAGCTGCAGCAAAGGATCGCCCCCCCCAAGGTCCGGCACTTGGTTCTGATGGGAGTGAGAGGTATGAATCTGCAGATCTGTGTTGCAGGAGGGAAAGTGCTGATGGAGGAGGTCGGTATGTATGTAATAGATTCAAGTAACTTGTAACTCACACTAAAAACTGTTTCAACCATGAATTTTCATGGGTGGGTATGTGTTTATGGCCATGTCACACTTTTAGATCAGATTTTTCTGTGAAAAGGAGATTATCAGGGAGATAAGGGTATAGCATGACAGTTGTGGTGTGATCTGTATGTTTGACTTACTTTTTCAGACTTGTTTCTTTTGACTCTGGCCAATGTCCTTTGTTTGGTTTTTACTGCTTACACCAAACTAATGACAGGGAAAATTGGTTCCTTGTCATTTCACTACATTTCATTGGCTGAATTGCAAATGATTCAACAAATAAGCTATATAAATGTATTTTTCTCCATGGTTTTTCAGTTATCCATTGCCGATGCTGGAAGGTCTAAGAACAGTGATCCAGCAATGATTTTTGAAAGGTAAAAAGCACAGTTTTATGTAATAATCCAAGAAAATAGTACAATTATCCTCTGTAAAATAACACATTCAGATAATACAAATTAGTACAAAAAAATAGTAACAGTTGCTCCATTGTTTCTGCACGGAGAATTATAATGTTGTGGCTCACTTTGCAGCTGACTTTGATACTGACACAATGAAATCCTATGCCTTATTTATGTCCCATTAAGGAGCACTTGTGTCGAGCCTTTAATTTAAGTGGATTTACAATTTACACCATAAAGACAGAATCAAACTTGGGCCATTAGCCTCCACTGCTGCTGCTGAAACAATCCGAGCCTCATTAAAATTGCATTGGGAGGTGCCTCTTCCCCTTTACCACTCTAATTGTCAGGCTGTGTGGTCTTTAGACAGATGATGTCCAGGACGTCCCTGCCAAAATACATGCAACCGTCAGGGGTGTACAGTAGCACCAATCAATTTCATGATTCATATGTCACCTGTATGGGCCAAATTAAGCTTTTGACAAATTAAAGCGGGTTGCTCATAAATTAGAAGACAGGGGTGTGGGCGTGAGATAGATCACTGCCAGTAGAGTCATCAATCCTGACCCCATTGCAATCCTGAGCACCACGTCTCATGGAGAAGTCCAGGTTATTTTCTGGTTTATGACGACAACGCGGATTGTATGTGGGTTGTATGTGTGAGAATGTAATTTATACATATATAAATTACATTCTCACACCTACAACCCACATACAACCCAAGAAAAATCCCATTGAGATTAAGATCCTATTTTTCAAGGGAGTCCTGGCCAAGAGGCAGCAAAGTTACACATAAACACAACATACAGATAAAATTACATAAAATTGCTATTTTGTGACAATATGATAAGACATGAAAGCGTTTAGGGCTGAAGGTCACAAGGGTCGCATTATCATTGAGGTAAGAGCTGTGATGGCTGATTTTTCAACCGTTTAAGGTTGCTACTAATTCTAATAATTTGGTTTTAGAATATTCATCATTTATTATTAAAGATAGGATACCATAATGTCAATCCTTTTTTCTTTCAAAAAGATGCAAAGATGAATCAATGTTTAAGCCAATCCCCTGTCCTCTGTGTGAGGCAAGGGAACTCTAAAAACCCAGTAGGGAAAAACATCTCTGGGAGAAGCAGAGTGAAGGAGAGATCCACTCCCAAGTACAAGCATCTGAGGAGGGAAGGCAGAGGACCAGACCCACACACATCAGTTTGAGAAGAAAATCAGGAGTTCAGGGTCCAATCACACCATGACTGAATGAAAAGAATGAGAACAGATTATAGCCAAGGACTTGTATGTTCTCTGAAGGTTAGACTCTTTCTAATACTGTCTATTTATTCTTAACAATTTCAATGGATTTGCTACATGTAGCAACACACGCTTTTAATGAGAACATGGCTCTCGATGCTACCGATAAAATCTATTAAGGAATTTAGTACCAATGTGCTGGAATGTGAGCCAATGAAAGCACTGAGGCTGTAACTGGCATTTATCCAAGAAGATGGATATTTGAATGATTAGAAAAGTAATATTTTACACAAGTGAGATGGCTTTAGCTTCAGGGGAGCATAGTAGAACCTGGAAGTTAACATACACTGTGTTAAGATTTTTTTTGCCTCACTGTCTGAAATCAAACTCCTGACCTTGTAGAAAGTCTGGGCTTGCTTCTGAATGTGTTTAAGATTGTGTTTTTACAAATGTTTTTTATTTTATGTTTGCATACAGTATATGTATCATGGAAAAGCGAACAGAAGTTGAGAATGATCATTCATTATGTATGAGTCACATCAGATGGATATTTTCCTGTAACTATGTGACTACAGTGTTCTTGACAAATGAATAGATAGATACAGTAAATCATCCAGAAAATCTAACGTTCTCAACTTTGTGGCAGTCGTATAGGGATTATTCAAAACAAAGGAAGGCTGTTCACCCATCATCTGTACTCCAGTTAGCAGGTTTTCCAGCCGTTTAATTCTGAATCCAAAGAACTTTCTCAAGGAAATTAATGCTCAGCCACAAGTTGGAGATTCATAACCTGAGAGAGTAATTAGACACCCCCTGATCCTGAGGCTAACTCATTAACTCATCCAATGTCTGCTAAGATATGGTTGGGAGCATGTCTAACAATCCTGTTAGGTCTAACGATCCTGTTAGGTCTAACGGTCCTGTTAGGTCTAACGATCCTGTTAGGTCTAACGGTACTGTTAGGTCTAACGATCCTGCTAGGCCTAATGGTACTGTTAGGTCTAACGATCCTGTTAGGCCTAACGGTACTGTTAGGTCTAACGATCCCGTTAGGTGCGAACTAATTACCATGTCACTATCCTTATCTGTTATTTTTAGGATGCCGTCACAGATGCGAGGCAAAACAAATAATTAAACCGCCTCCTCTGTTTAGGAACGGTTTGTGTTAACTCAAATGCTTCTTTCACCCCTCTCTCACATCAAATTCTGGCTTGAGACAAAAATGTGTTTGATAGAGGGGTGAAAGAAGCCCTTTTAGTGAGGAAACACAAACCATCCCTAAACAGAGGAGGTGGATTAAGATTTGTTTTGCCTCGCATCTATGACGACAACCTAAAAACAACGCTCAAACAATAGATAAGGTCAATGACAAGCTTGAGTTGCCTTGTGTATAAATTGTGCGATACAAATAAACTTGCCAAACTTGTCAAACACAGTATAACACTATCTTACATTTCCAGTTAGGATCGTTAGACCTGCACTCCACCCGAGCTCTCACCAGACAATAGGTCAGCCACATGCGAATGAGGTAGGATCTTTAGTCCAAGCAGGATCGTTAGACCTGTTGCCAGTTAGCCTCAGGATGAGGGTTTCGCAACTGAGCTTTCATTTCCCTAAGGAAGTTCTTTGGATGAAGACCGGCACGTCGGGAAAACCTTCTGACTACAAAACAGATGATGGGTGAGCAACTGTTCTTTGTATTGTGGCAATAGGCAATACAAATTATGTTGACATTCTTACGTGACATGAGAAAACCAGCTTCAGATGGTCCAGAAATTGTAGTGACGCTGTCCAACAATGTCTAAAATATGGAAAAGAGTTCTGGCCTTCTGAAAAGCATGTAGTTTTTTTTTTTCCAACTGTGGCCATTTGTTTTTGACATAGCTTATATAAACTTTGCTCTCTACTAAGTAAACCTTTCCATTATCGGAATGTGAACAGTGCATAGCGGACCAAACCAGGAATGTATTATTTAAATTGTGCAAGAATACAAATATCGGAGAATGTTGTACCTGTCCCAAACACACCCGAATTTGTCTTGTCACAACCACAAACATAAATATATCTTACCTTTTGCGCTGCTTGTGGTTTGGAGTACACTCAAAAAGCATAAACCCTTCTGTAAATAAAGTAAATCTAAAGTTAAAGTCATAGAAAAATAAATCAAATGCATTATACCTAAACTAAACAAAAAACGGCCATTCCAGCACAGATGCCCACTTCCATTATAACGATTGAGCTGTAATTGCAGAGCTGCAGTTGCTGGACCCATCCAGTGCTTAATCCACTTCCCTGCTTTGCTTTAGTTCATGAAGCCGGCAGCACCTTGTTAGAACTCTAAAATCTGCCGTGCCTCACAAAACCGCCTGATTTCATGAATGATATACTCCTTGTGATTGCTCATAGGCTTTTCGGGACTAGGCACTGGTCTTTAAAATTACAGTACTGCATATAAAACGCTATTTCTTCCATACATGCAGCTCTCCACTTCAAATGTATGACTGAAACCATCTCAACTCTAATAACAGAAAATGTCGTTGTACAAAGCACAGGCCGGTAAGATGTGCAGGCACAAGATAAGCTTCTACTCCGATGTTCTCTCTTCTGTGTTCAAATTCAGGTTAAAAACAGTGTTAGATTCAAGACAAACCACCCATTAGCATTAGATCTATGTATATATCAATATTTATGTTTGCCTGAATTACATTGTTTCTATATGATTGAGTGGCAGCATGTTTACTTCCTGGAAACGGCGTTCACAGTTGATCTCTGTGTAATTTAGGCTGTCAATCCGTCTATAGAACTAAACAGGGATTGCGCTTTTACTTTGCTCCCGCAGTTTAGCACCTGGATTGAGAAATGAGGCCCCTAAACCAGGAACGTATATGATATGGTACTAATTGTTTGATTACATTTTAGAACATGAAGTGTGGATACGTTTTAGCGATTAGACCCAGAAATATTGCATGACGTTTGCAGGAGGGAATTCAATAGATTATGTGAGAAATGCCAACGGAGTCTAGACCTCGGTGGTAGTGATAACATGATTTCTCCACGGATGAAGTGTTGATTGGGAGGAGGCGGGTTGCTGCACGAACAGCACTTTAGTTATATTCAATTGAAAGATTGTGTCTATTCTGTAAAATAAAGTAAGGATTTATGTTTTCATTGGTTTCTCATGTTGGTTTAAATATACTTACATCGCTATAGGTTTTTGTTGCTGTTTTTCTGATATTGAATCTGCCTGAAAATGTGAGACAGTCCTCTTTTCTGACAATGTATCCAGGTTGAAAACTGTTCTGTTTAGCTGTGCATACAACAGAGGGATGTTACCGTTTTATATTTCTTTTTAATATACAGTGATATTTTATGCTATGCTAATGCTATGTTGATTTGTTCAGCCCTTTGAGTTGCCTTGTGTATGACTTGTGCGATACAAATAAACTTGCCTTGCCTATTGTCAAACACAGTATAACACTATCTTACTTAAAAACATTTCCATAGTCTGTGTGTGAGGCTGATCCGACTGTATTGTTATAATGTACTCGGCGTCTATGAAAAAATATTCAAAGCCTCCTTCAAAAGTGAATCAATAACAAGGTGTCAATCACTCCCGCATCGCAAATAATTCCCCTGTCCTCTTCATCGCATATTCACATCTCCTCCATGATTGGCACCACTTAAATCTTTGATGGATTATTTAGCAAATAGAAGCGTGCGTCCGTTGATGACCCCTGGTGCACTCCCCTGTGACGGAAAAAACACAAATCGATCATTAATCCATTTAGTCAAGTGAGCAGCAGAATATCAAACAGAAGACAGTTTAGAATTCTGCGCAGCACCTGTGAACATGTAATTTTAGACGCTATTTTAAAAAGATGTTTGTCTAATGTGTTTCAAATGGCTGCTTCCGGGCCATAGAAGTGAAAAATAAGGAAATTGAAATAGCTGCAGTGATGTGAGAAAAATATTTCAATAGATCCATCATTATTAAGGGACTTTAAAAAGCAGGTTTATTAAAAAACGATTTGTATATAGATGTTTGTGGGTTTCAGCTTCCCATTAACGCCCAAGGTCTTTTAAATACTGTATATGCAGTAAATAAGTGTTATGTTTTGTCCTCATTTATTACGGTTCATCACTTAATTGAAAAATTTAGAGATGCATTTAAGTTAGAACTTTGTTTTTGCAGGTTATCAATACAATTCAAGAGAAAAAGAAACCAAAGTGTGAAACCAAACAACAATTTAATTAAAATCATCCATTTCCATCCATCTATTTTCATCCATTTCTGGGTTGGGGTGGCAATCAGAGCTGCACCCAATACACAGAGGATCCCTGATCCTCCTGCAGGTGGTGAGTCCACAAGGGGCTACAGGCAAAGTGGGGTTAAGTGTCTTGCCCAAGGACACAACGACAGCAGTCATCAGTGGGAGTCGTGAAGTAGGTCTTGTGGTGGGCTCGAACCTACGACTTTCAGGCTCTAAGGCCAATGCTCTACCAACTGAGCCACTGCCCCCATTAAAATCATCCAAGACTTTTTTCATAAATTTGATGTGAAACAGAAAAAATCTCCAGCCTGAAAGATTATAACATTTGTGGCCATACTTGCATGCAAAAGCCATATCCTGTCTTACCTATGAAGCCGTGCAGGTGAGGGCCTGGTTAGTACTGTGATGGGAGACCTCTGTGAACACCAGGTGCCACAGTGGAGTGGCTGCGGCTATAAAGTGCTGAACTGTTGTTGTGTCCTTAGGCAAGACACTTCACCCGCTTTGTCAGTGCACCCCAGGGCCGCTGTGGCTTTAGTTTGTCACCACTGTGTATGGAGTGAAATAATAATGACATTTGAAGCGTCTTGTAGTGTCCTGAAAAGTGCTATATAAAACTAATGCATGATTATTATTATAAAATACAGAGGACTGCTGATAATAATAACATAAATACATTAAATAAAAAAAATATCTTGGAAAAGAAATTCGTTGGCCAGGTCGCTGTTCAGAAAGCGCCCTGAATACATTTCCTGCAGCGAAGTACCAAACTGTGAAGCCCTGGTCCAGGAGGGATAAACCGAAAACCCAGCCTGTTCCTTTAGGAGGCTATCTTTATTAGCTCCATCAGCCACAACCAATGGCTCTGTTACTTTGAAAAAACATCTGCTTTCCATTGTGACCGATCGTAGGCTGCAGCGCGAGAGAGGATGAAGCCATTCTGAGCGGCGTCTTCTGCTCCTTCTGCTCTCACACAGTGGCCATGCTACGTGCTCCTCAGGTGAACAGCTGGACGGTGAATATTTGGCAGCTCACGGCACAGCTGGCTTTTAAGAGGAAGAGCTGCTCAGAGCCGCTGGGGGGTCACAGGCTGTAGCCCCTCACCACCACCCCACATCCCTGTACTCCTGGAGCTGTGACGGTGGGCAGATGTGAGTTTCTCTACCTCGACACACTCACATGACCACAGCGTTCACATGAGGAGAGGCCACTGCAGACTTCTCTCCCTCTCCCCCTGACGCAATAGTTGTAGGTCGCTTCTTAACACAACCCACATGGCACAAACCTGGCTGAGTAGATAGCACTCTCGCTTCTCAGCAAGAAGGTCCTGGGTTTGAATCCCGGTCGGAACAGGGCCTTTCTGAGTGGAGTTTGCATGTTCTCTCCGTGTCTGCGTTGGTTTTTCCTCTGGGTGCTCTGGTTTCCCCTACCACTAAAAACATGTACAATAGGTCTGGCATGCGCCTCCTGTACTGGCGACCTAACTCCCATCCCTGTGTGGAGTGAGAGACAAATGCGGCACGTTGTGCAGAGGTTACCACTTGTGCTTCACTGCAAAAAGGTCCTGGATTCGATTCCTCCTCCAGGCCTGTGCAGAGATGTGTTCACCATGTGTCTTTGTAGATTTCCTCAGGGTGCTCTGGATTCCCCTACCACTAAAGACTTGTATTTTTCAGGGTGAATGAGTGTATTTGAGAGGCTGCATAGTCTATGCTCTTGCTTTCTTCTTCTTCTTCCCGCTTTCGCCAGATTTTGGCACTTTTCAACTCTTCAACGCTTCACCGTGTCAGTATTGCTATTAGTTTTCACACTTCCACCTTTTGCACTTTTTCAGATATTTACAAAAGTACAAGCACTTTTTCCCATTGACTTACATTGGACCAGTACAATAATTGCCCCGCAGACAACACCTGCTTCTTCTATGCAGCCACTCACAATGGCTTCAGCCATTGTACGATTTCTAGTTGTGAGTGCAATCCAGAGAGGTGTGTTTGTTGATCTGCACTTCCCAACCAAATCCCAACAAATAATAATACATCATTCCTCTGGTTATGACCGGATGTGCATGTCCCTCTTTCAAACTGCATCATGTGAACATGTTGGGTTTGGTTTTATTCCTGGCAAACCCTGATCCAGAGTTTCTCTTTGTGTCCATTACAACTTCCCTCTTACATGTCTGACCATGTGTGAAATGGCTTGTATTGGAGGCTGTAATTCTCACCAACACCAGTAGATGGTGGTATTATTATATTGTTGCTTATTTTCTAGTATTTTCACACACATAATAAAATACCCTTTTACAATTATATCAAGTGAAAAGGGCGTAATTGGTCAAACTATTTTAAATTGATGTATTGAGTGCTTTGCTTACACACCAGCACGAGAAAGAGACTGTAGAGGGTGTGCGCTCAATAGCCGTGCGTCTGTGCCTGCGCAGCGTCCTTCAGCCCTGCGCTCTCAGTGCTCAAACAATAAAGTCAGCTTTAAATGAGCTCTCCAAGGCCTCTACCGGAGCCCGCTGCCGGATAGGAAGGTGCCCTCAAAAACCCGACAGAAAGTGCTTGTCTTCCACTCAGAACACGGCGTCTTACTACTGCTAATTACCCACAGGATGAGCGCGCCCCGGCAGCAGAACTTTCGACCTTCACCTTGGCTTTATATCCCATTATACATGCCTGTCACAGAAGAGTTTGAAAAGCGCCACGCAAACACAATCAATAGTTTAAAAAAAGTCTTTCCGTTAATTCTCTGTAAGTTTATCGACCCTAAGTTCTCCGCTGGGACAAAACGCTCTTCTTTTCAAAATAAGTCATGGACGCATGTCAGTCACAGAGGAGGCACCGGGGGAGGTTTCTTTGATGGAACGTTGTAAGAGAGATGGCACCAAAGGATAGGTGAGGATCCGGTACAGTCGCATGCAGCCTCAGCACTTCTGTGACAGTGATGAATTGAGAAAAAGTGTGTGATGAGTGGCAGGGACACAGTGATGGCTGCTGCAGCTGTCTGTCCGCCTCAGCGCCACCAGACCACTGGCACCGGCACATCTGGCCACAAAGTGAGTCCACACCAAAGAGCACTTCAGGTGGTGTGGGAAAAGGATTTAAGTCAGAAATTCTCATATATGAGATATCTCTTGACTGAGACCTGAATGCAAGAATACTGTATACTACCTTTCATAATAATAATAAAAAAAAATTAAAAAACAAAAAAAAGACATTCTCATATCTGGAAAAAGATTTTTTATTATCTGTTAATATTTTTCAACAGTATTAATGAGCAGTCATTGTATCCCCCTCTCTACATTTCAAGTTGACTTGGACTCACAAATATGCATGTTTTGACAGGAACCTAGCCATTAAAGAACATATTCTGTATACGCTCAAGATGTAGCCACAGGGATAATGTGTCTCTTGTTGTAATCAGACAGCTGTAACATTGTCACCCTATAAATGCTTTGAAAGATGAGGCAGAGAGCGTGCACAGAAAGACAAGTTTGAAGCGTGTTTTTTTCTTTTTCTTATTTAGAATCTTTTGTACGGCAGCATTAATGATCCTTTACCACCTGGTGGTGCCACCTCTTTGTCTGCAATAAGATTGCTTTATGTCATAGAGAGGAGCATGCTGGGCGCAGATATGTTGCATCACATCAAAAGTTTGCTGCTGACAGATTACAGTAGTATGAGTCTGGTGCGTCTGTGAATAATCTGTGGGGAGGGGCCAATGGCACACAATACTTCTGTCAGGCTGCCCCAGGGCAGCTGTGACCTCAGTTGAATGTCAGATATTGTCTATTGTTTGAATTCTATGTTACATACATGCTTAGTATCAATTCAGAAGTACTTGTACACAGGGTTGCAACAAAATGTCCTGCCAAATCCACAGCTGCAGCTGGATGCTCATTGTTCAATACGCTGAGGCGAAGCCTACAGGTTTAGCCCACAGCTGGCAGAGCTACTTTCAACATAAGATCAAATACCAAATGGGCAAAATTGCACATATTTCTTCATAATTGCAGTCTGACATTATTCAATCAGTCCGGCAGTCCTACATATGGAAAGATCATTCCAGCATCAGCGATGGTGGGACTGAGTGAGTGACAGACCCTCCCTGAGCTCTCGTTTGGTGCAGTGCTGAATATTTCCCACAGAACTGTGTCAATGACATTTCAAGTTCAAACTTAGATTCACACTTCTTTCCCTGAAAATGGCAAAAAAGAAATACCAAGATGATTTCAACAGAATATTAATGATTTGCCTTTGCCAACATTTTAACTTTATCTTTTTGTATTGTGCCAAGATTAATTATTAAAATTCCATTATTATTCCTTCAAAAATGTCTTCCTGTTAATTGGGCTTTAAACACAAAGTATGTTTTACTATGCATTGTTCTGTAACGAATGATACAAAAGATTGTTGTATTTATTTTGAAATTTGATAGGATATATTTTGCTTCTGTGTCTGAGCTTTGTTACTCCCTTTAGGACCGGGGTGTGCATTGAGGAAGGATGAGGTGTTTTTGTTGTTAAACTTGGCTTCTGTCCTTGTTGTTTTCATTGGCCCTTCATTAATCATCCACATGAATGTGGCCAAAGGCTATATTGTTGTCTACTGTGGGGATTAAATATTGATAAAGACGCACTCTCACCCCAGACTCAACTGTGTTAACAAATATGTTTTGTTTTCACAACAATTTGGATTTAATTATTCATCAAAACGCAAAGAAGCCATTATCATGTGGAGGCCAACCTGCAGAAGTCAGAGAGGAGCTGCTCCATACATTTTTGATAAGACCTCAGTGCTTGTCTATATCGGTGCAAGGACAGAGATATCACTCGCACTTCATCACTTTTTTAAACCTAACTGAAAAGTCCAAGTGCTGTTTTATCATATTACACCTAAAGGTTTGGCCTTCCCTCAGCAAACATATCCTCTGTGAGGCTTGAAAACAGTTTTAGAGTCTGAAAAGAACTCATGTGAATTGGAACATGACATTCCAATACATAAGAATTGGTTCAAATTGTGTTAATAAGATCTGTCAGGAGCTTGATAAAATCCACATTAGCATTTACATTTACAGACACTTATCTATATGTATATTTGTGTGCTATGTGTTTAATCTTACTTACTGGCCTGTGTGTGCACTGCAACACAGAAAAAATCCACACTGTGGGTAAAATTCGATTAAGAGTACTGTTTCATGCAAAGCAGTCTCAGCATTTATGGAAATTGATCTTTTTTGCACTCATTAAGTAGATTGAAACATGAAATTTACATTTAAATGAATCATACTGTAATTCCAAATTCAAACAAACTGCAAAAAGCACAATATAATCTATCCCAGTTTCAACAACATTGGTGAGTTCCTGAAGCGTCCCTAAATGTTTACAATGTTAAAGGAAGGTGAAAACAGGCGTCCATAACCTGTCTAAGCCCTATTGACCAGTCCGTCAGGCCTGGCTAACACTGGCTGACTTGACATTGGGTTCGCATGCGATGCTGCAGCAGAAGGGGAAGTGTTGGTTGGAAGCCGTGACGAGGGAAGAGGAGAGGGGAGAGAGAGTGGGATTTACGCTCTAACTGGACTCCATTAATACACCGCTCCGCCTCGCACCACTGTTTATGCTCCAGCGCATCCACTGCCTCTGGGACAACTTCACTGGCACTTTACTGCAGACAGGGCCAGCACAGGCACAGGAGGCTGTGGTCCCAAAAAAAAAGAACTACTTCAGAAAACAGCAAAGGGGCACAAGAAAGTCACCATACTCTCAAGAACTATAAAGAGCAGTATATGGAGTGAACTTTGACAACTCTCACAGAGAAACTACAACTTTTCTCTCCAAAGGTTGGGTCAGAGTTGAATAATGGAGAGAGCAAGGAGGAGAAAGCTCGATATCACACATGACAGAAAATTGAAGGTGATGTTTAGGAGAGATTTAGTATCCAATCCAATCCACTCTGTAGCACATTTAAACAATAGAACAGTTCCAAAGTGCTGCACAAAAAAAAGAAGAAAAGTACACAAAAACTCCATGTAGCTCAACCAGTCAATAAAATAGAATAAAAAATAGTCATCACAAATGGTATAAATAATTATAAT